TAGGGAGAAAAGAAGCCGGGGAGCAGCCCCGGAGAGCCGCCACGTCTTCCGGAAACACGCAGCCACCCACACCTCCACTTCAAGACAGCTTTCCATTGGCTAAGCCTGCTCACAAAATCAACCAATAACCCGTGGTCTTGTTCGATGATGCGCCTGCTGGCCACGCCCCTTGCTCAATTAGAGAAGGTTATTATTTGCGATTGGTTGAATGTGCCGACCCGGAAGGGTGGATTCTCCCGGCTGGGTGGCGGGAAGATTTTATTGCAGAGCAGGACCGACAGGTGGGTAGCAGTTTCCAGGCCCTGGCTGTTTGGGCTTGGGGACCCGGGTGTAGAAGGCGGCTTCTCTCACCCTCATGGACAGAGGTTATGGGGTAACTCCTGTTAAAGCTTTGAAAGGACAAGACGGCGCCCCTTTGATCGTTTTCTTAAGAGGGCGAACCGACCCATCCAGGATCACTTCCTTCCATCCACACTTTAGCGGAGGAGAAATCAGGGCGTTAATCACTGCCCTGCTTTCCTTCAGCTCAGGCTTTTGAGTGGCAAGTTCCCTTATGGACCATTTTTGTTTTTGTTTTTTCTTAATCTCTCCAGACTTTCACTCAGGAAGCTTTGCTCCCCAAACCCCTTTACTAACAGCCATCATTTATTTTGAAATTACACTAAGGACGCTTCTTCTACCCTCTGCTTCACAGTGACATAAGAGAGGGAATTATCAGTACCTGATGGCTGCGAGTTGCAGGTGAAGTGTGGTGGAGGGATGTTTATCTGGTTTAGACTGTTGGACCTCAGCCGCATTTCCTTCAAATATTGATGACGGTTGTCAATGCGTAAAAACTTTCCTGTGGATGCCTAATCGACTTCTGATTGAAAGACCTGCTGTATCTTATTAATTTTTGAATACATTTTATGTTGAGATATTTTGCTATCAAATCACGTTATTTGGGGAAGCATCAGTCTTAATAGCATAATCAAAGGAGTCATTTAAAACAGTAGGGAAAAACTGGATATAGATCCTACCCTTTCGAAAGGGTAGATGTAGTTAGTTTGCTAGGCGATGTGTATGTAAAGGTGAAGAGACTCAAACCCTGCTCAGCTAGAGGACCTTATAGTTTATGGGTGGAATGTCGTATTTCCAGGAGGAAGTGAAGAGATAGTTATGTAAAGAATTAGAAGTCCTTGGCTATCACCATTTCTTAGCTGTCTTTCAATGATGTGCCCATTCCATATTTTTAGCATGTACACCCTGCATGTCTTTCCAGCCTTTTGGTGGCTTCAGAATTCTACGTAGAAAGAATTGTTCTATATAGGAAATAGTCTTAGTAAGGCTAGGATGCTGCTGAAGCTATCTTTGGAGAGCACTAACATAGTTTTAGAAAATGTTGATTGTCATATGAGAGAGTTGGGGAAGGTTTTCATAGGATTATGGGGAATTTAAAATTCCTTCTCTCAAACTTTATTTTCCACTCGTTCATATATCTATGCTTAGATTTTAGTCATTAAAACAACACAAACCATGTTTTCTCCCCATCACTAACCTGTCTGTATTTTCTCCTCCTGAAATCTAACCCAATAGAATAGAATACCAATATCTCCTTTAATATTAATATTAAAATATAAAT